GAGATGTCCTAATGTGGCGTGAGCCTCTTTCCCTCCCTGAAGCTATGACCTGGAGCACCATCTTTGGCTAGCAAGCTTCTCTGTCCTGCAACTCCTTTATAGAGATCTCTAGGCTGCTGACTGGCCTGTTTTCAAGCGTCATCTTTTAGTATGTGAGTGAGTGATGGCAGATAAGCTAAGCCTGTTCTCTTATTCAAGCAAGGAGTTCATCAGCATTTTCTCAAAACATCTGACTTTCCAAGCTTAGCTTCTCATCTCCAAAATAAACACACTGAAGGGTGGGGAAGGGATTTTGCACAAAACCAACTTGCCTCAGGCCTGCCTGCGCATTCTGGAATGCTGGGATCAAGTCAAGAGCTGGAAGTGCCAACGGGTGTTTTGGTCTTGCTGAACTCAGCTCGTTTTTCTGTTTTGCATGTGTGGAGGGCTCAAACAGTTTGGCTTAAGTTGTGAAGAAGGCTTTGCAAAGTTCTCCATTGTCTGGTCTTTTCTTGGCCTGTCTGTTCCAACTCATTCAGAATCTTCAAACAGAACTTCAGTGATCTTTTTTCTGATAAAACCAGATGATCCCAGATATCAGGTTAATCCCTGCTTTTGGAGAAAGATGTCTTGCACAGTTGCTTTCAGGAGAGCTACAGAGCATATCAGGATACCACATACTGCTTAGTATCTCTGGTTCAAAGGACTAAGTAGGAGGAACATGAGAAGACCCCTGTCTGGCCCTCTAAAACAGTGTTTCTCAATCTCAGCAACTTTAAGTTGCATGGGGTTTCAATTCCCAGAATTCCCGAGCCAGCATGTTGAAGTCCCCAGCAGTTGAAGTCCATACATCTTAAAGCTGTTGAGACTGAGAAACATTGCTATAAAGTATACTAAAGTGCAGAGTGCTGGTTGTTGGGCTGCCTTTGAAAGCAATCTGAAAACATCTGTTAGTCAAGGAAAAGGCTGCCAGATGCTACCTGAAATTAGACCAGAGCAGCGACATGCACTGTATTTTGATCATTGGTTTTCAGAGGGTTGATTATGAACTTTAAAGGCCTTTGTGGCCAGTCTTTGAAGGATAGAGCCCTCCCTGGTTTACCTACCTGAACATTAATGTATTTTCAAGAGGGTCTTGCCCTCATTAGTTGAGGGTTGACAGGAGAAAAGGGTTATTTGTGATGGGAGAGGATGCCTTGGTTGTATAATAGCCTCCCCAGAGGAGCCATGGCTTGTGTTTTGATATTTGAGTACTCCTTGGATGCCGAACCTTTTTGTAATTGTAGTTGTCATTGTTAACCTGTTACACCTATGGAACAGCATCCCCTTGGAGACTTGGATGGCCCCAAAGCTGTTAGCCTTTTGTAAGGCTCTGAAGACCTGCCTGTTGCCCCAGGCGTTTGGGCCAGGTGGTTAGATGAGCTCTGCTGTTGTTGGTGTGCTTTTTCTGTGAGTGAGGTTATTTAATCCTTGAGTGCCTGGGTTTATATGTTGTGAGTTACTGATTAGCAGACATTTCTGAGAAATCCAAGGTGATTAAGATACAGAGAACAGCACAAGTGAAGGAATGGGTATGAACTAGATGGGAGAAAGATAAGCTTATATGGATCAGGAAAGTGGTGGTAGGTCTTGAGGAAAACTTTGTGCAACATTGATTGATAGAGTATGTGCCATCAAGTTGGTGTCAACTCTTGGCTACCCCATAGATAGATTTTCTCCTGGATGGTCTGTCCCTGGCCTGGTCTTTCAGGTCTTCCAATGCTGTACCCATCACTGTTGTAACTGAGTCCACCTTGCTGCTGGTCATCCTCTTCTTCTCTTCTCTTCCACCTTTCCCATCATTATAGATTTCTCAAGAGAGCTGGGTCTTTGCATAATGTGTTCAAAATATGATAATTTGAGCCTAATCATTTGTGCAAGTAAGGGCTCTGGATTGATTTGTTCTTAGTTTACATGATTCTGATCTTGGTAGGTACAGACACATCATGGCATCTGAATATCTTTTCCAAGGCCTTCGTGGCTGCTTTACCAAGTACTAGTCTGCAATGTGTTTCTTGACTGCTGTTCCTTCACTGTTGATAGTTGATCCTAAAAGCTCTCCACCACTTTGATATCTTTGTTGCCATTTCGAAGGATGATTTGCTTTACCTGGTGTCATTAGTTTGGTTCTCTTTATATTTAATCTTAGTCCCATTTTTTTCACTGTGCTTCTTGACTTTCATTACTAGAGTTTCCAGATCATTTGTGTTTTCAGTTATCAGTAGTGTCATCAGCATAGCACGACTTATTAAGGTTCCTTCTCCATTTTTAAAACCATGCTCATCTTCTTCTAATCCAGCCTCCCTCAATATATATTCAGCATACAGATTGAATAAATAAGGGGAGGGGATACAGTCTTGCCTCACTCCTTTGCCAACCTGAAGCCAGTCTGTTTCCATCTCTGTACTGTGGCTTCCTGGCCTGTATATAAGTTTCTCATGAGGACAATGAGATGTTTCGGGATTCCCATTTTTCCTAATGATGTTCCACGTCATGGTCAACATAATCAAAGGCCTTTCTATAATCAATCAAGCCCATGTTGATTTCTTTTTGGTACTGTTGGCTTTCTGAATTATCCAGTGTGCATCAGCAAAAATGTGGACCATAGATCTGGTTAAAGATTGGAATGAAAGGCTAAGAATGGGAGAAACTATGGCCCCTGGGAAAGGAAAGAGTAATTCTGGTCAAATTCATTATTGAACATCCCACCAGACTCACATCTGGGTTTTGGGACATTTGGCATCTCCTTGCTGTCCATTGTAATTGCTGGGGGTCAGAGAATGATAGGTCAACAGAGTCCCTACAAGTTGGAGCAGAAAAGGGAAATATCAGCTTCCTGCTGAGGCCTAAAAGCAACTTGAGCAGAAATAGTTAATTTCCTGTCCTAAAAGAAACTAAGCCACATGTGTGCAAATGCAGCCAAAGACCAACCATTTGTGGATGCAGCCCAACGTATCTTTGTGCAAGATCAATGATTTAATCCAACTTGATGCTCAACTTCCTCACATTTGTTGGACTGAAGCTCCCCTCTCTCCCAACCCGCCAGAGTCACACCATATGGGAACTTTGATGAGCTGTTATCTAAACCAGCCTCAGCAAGTGTCAGAATTGGTTAATTTCAAAAACAAAACAGGGTTAGAGCTGGTTACTCCTTGGATGAGAAATCGCCAGGAAACCTTAGGAGCGCTGGCTACACTGGGAAGTTGAAAAAGAAAACATCCCCAAATAAGGCAGCGGCGAACCCCTTCTGTACCATTGCCATGAGAATGGCGTGGGCATGTCCAGGAAGTCCTCAGGAATTGAGCTTGACAGGAAGAGTACATCATTCTTTTAATCAAACACATTGGAAGGCCACCAGGTTGGTATAGTCTCTAATAGTTAACCTTAAGACAGTGTTTCTCAACCTTGGGAACTTTAAGTTGTGTGGATGTCAACTCCCCCAAATCCCCCCCCCCCCCCCCC